TACCCATGAACCTCCAAGTAAGACCCGTTCCCTGAGGCTCGGGGATTGGCCCGGCTCTCGTCCGGGCCGAGCCTGGCGGACGCCGTCTTCGACGCTGAGTCGGCGAAGCTTTTGGAGCCGCCTCCCAGCCATATTATTATTGTTATTGCTACGAGTACTATTACCATTATTATTATTACTATTANNATTACTATTATTATTATTATTAATATTCTTATTGTTATGATTATTATATAGTGTTTTCCAGTATCCCCGAGGGCCCCCGCTGCATACTGCTCCGGCCCAGGGTGGCGCCGGACGATATCCAGCCGCGGCTCTCATTGCAGCAGATTGCTTCCCTGGGCCCGAAGCAGATCTCCGTGGGAGCCTCAGAGCGCAAGGGAGCGTCGGAAGACTCGGAGATGAGATCCTAGGCAGGAGCAAGAGAGCCAAGTGTCGGCAGGTAGGCCCAACATACCCTCTTCTGACTTCTATCCCCAAAACGCGTTCATGGGGGCCCAGCAGTGGGAAGCCAGGTGCTGATGGCCCACGAGAATGCATCTCGGCAGCATCGCAATGACCACGCAAAGCCTCATAAAGCCGAGAGCCCAAGACACCGAAGGCCCTAAACCACTACAACCATAAGCTCCAAATCCCTTTACTAGTAGGTTCAAGACATCCAGCAAGGGAGAAGCTTCTATTGAATCGGAGCTTGTTGGCTCGGAGGCCCAGGTTCTTCAAAGAACTTTCGAAGTCTTAACGTTTGAGCACCAGAAACAACGACGAACCCGAAACCCTAGCTCTAACTCCTAAGAACCTACTGGCAATTTTCGCCTGAAGCCTGGACAGGGGTTGGGGTTAAAACTTGCACCCCTAAACCCTAAACCCTAAACCCTTAAACCCTTGAACCCTTAAACCCTTAAACCCTAAACCCTAAACCCAATGCGGATCGTTTCTGCAGGAGATGCTTGCAGCAGGAGTGGGCCGACTCTCCAGTGGCTGCCTGGCAGCAGACGGCGTTTCGGGTGGAGTCCTGCGGTTTCGGAGTTGGGGTCTATGGAGTCTATGGTCTAGGGTTTAGGGGTTGGGGTTTTGTTGAGTTGATTGCATTTTCCCTGCCAGGGGATTGCCTGCTCTTTTTGTCTTTCAACCCTAAACACCCCAAACCCTAAATGCTAACCCTGAGCTCCAAAAGCCCAATCCCTCAGCCCCAGCTGTAGGCAAAGCTTTTGCCGACTACATCTTCGGCATGGACACCGGTCGCCCGCTGCACATGGTAGCGCTTCTTAAGTATCTATCATCTTTGAAACTCCCATCTGGTGGGCTTTGGACATGTGGCATAGTTCACGGTTTCGGGGATGCGCATGGGCACCCAGGGGTCACTTTGTTCAGAGAGCAGAGACTGTTTTGATTGAGGTGAGCTCCCCAGCGAACTTCCGAGCGAGGCTTATCTTGAGCATTTCGTGCAGGACGGCAGCACGGAAAAGGGAACATCACTCCGTGATACGAAGCTGAGACCTCGTCGTCGTGGTCTGCTTCAAAAGATTTATAGCTCGAGATTAGCAATAGAAGAGGTTTTCAGGGTCCTATCTACTAACTGGGGCTTGCCGGGTGTCTGGAGTACCTCGTACCCTCAACCCTGCACTCCAAACCCAGGCCCTTGTGGTTTCAGTGCCATGCTCTGACCAGGATCATGGCTTATCCCGGTTTGCCGTCAATGCGACGATGTCCATGATCGGCCGTGCAGTGCACCCCCCTTAGAATCGGAAGCTTAAGTTCTTTAAGCTCTAGTCAGCGATTGCAAGGTGTGCGGATGTGAGGCCTTCTGTGCATGCCAATGTCCGAAGGTCCCAGCTTTCATCCGGAAAACCGCTTGCTGACGCCGTCTTTGGCTGCGATGTCAGCCACCTCTCGATCCCTAACAAAGTGGTCATGGCCGGGACGCAATCATCTGTGGCGAGGTGACGAAAAGTGCCGGATGCATTCATGTTTTCGATTGTTTGCTCAATAGTCGGCGTGTGCTCGTGCACCCGCTGCAGGCTTGCATGGCACACTGTCCTGCAGCAGCGTGGCTGTTTTGAACGCCTTTTTGGAGCCTCATGCCCCCATGCCCCAGCAAGACAGCAAGAGGGCTTTACAGCCAGAGGTCCTTCATGATATACTGAGTGCAGCTTTCACTGCTTTGCTTCTGCGGGCATTAGTACGCCTCGGCGCATTGCTGCAAGCCATGGCGGTGCCAACAGATATGACCGGCACAAAGCTGGCAGAGACGCCCTTCGACTGTGACTAGTCAAGCTGCCGCTGGCCTCTGTGCTAGATTCTAGAAGAGAACACTGCAAAGCCTCTGAACGACTATGCCATGCTCTGTTGCGAGGGTTGCCATGGGCTTCTGATTTCAAACTCTCCCCATGCCACAGCGATTCTGGTTTCAAGAAGTGTAGATTTTCAGGTTCTCTGCCACGAAACCCCTGGGGCTCCGGCCAGAGGTGCAGGGCACTGCTTCGCTTCGGAGCTCTTAGCTGTGCCACGGTTTGGTGTTTAGGGTTGAGGGCTCCTGCAATCCGGACAGAGCAGATGCAGCCTCGAGGGAGCTTCTCTCGATAGCCTCGAAGCCTGCCATAAAATGAAGTGGCGTGCAGATCACTCCGTGCATGATCTTCGGCCACAGCAGCGCCATCCCCTCAGAGAGCAAAGGCTTTTGGGGCTTTGGGGAGTTGAGCGCTTCGGGTTTTCGGGGGCTTTTGCAGCTGCGGAGCTCCAGGTCCGCAGGGTTTCCAGAGTCTGCAGGCTCTTTTGCCCCTAGCCGACATCACCCGAGAAGAGCAAGGTACCATGGTTGTGTGTAAGGGGTCGCAGGGTCTGCGCAATGCCGATTTCTCCTTGGAGATGGCAGTCAAGACTGAGGCCCTGGCTGATGCAGAGGGTCCGGCCCCAAGCCTTTGAGAAGCGCCACAAGAAGAGTCTGCCGTGTTCCAGGATCTTCAACTCCGATAGCATGAGCTGATATGAGCTGCCCCAAGGCCACTTGAGCAAGGGAGCCTTCGACTCTGCCATCCCTGCTGCGGAAGCAGTGCGGAACGAGTTCCAAGCGAAAGGCGGGTCGACGTCTGCGGTTCGGAGCTACAGTCGGGACTTTTGGAGTTGAGTAGTAGGCAGTGTTCCGTGATGCAACATGGAGATCATCAGTCCGAGATATTTCGCTTTGGCTTGTGTGCTGCAATACCAGTACAGGCCTTTGCAGGCCTTCCAGGGACTCAAAGCTTCCTGAGAGAGCCATGGTTCCGCATGAGATTCTGGGAATCGCCAAAGATTCCGACCATGACAAGATCAGCGAGGCCTACAGAAGACTGCCGGACAAGGGCGGCACCGCTCTGCTCTTCTGCATTGCGAAGAGAATTCCCCGCGATGAGCTGACAGGATCTACTTAGGAGCCATCGGGCGTCATCAGTGTGGATCTTTCCTCGAAGCCGAAAGCCGACGAGAAGTGATGCGACAGGAGTCCAAATGGCCCGAATGACCCCAGAGCCTTGTGTGTGAGGCGAGTGCCTCATCCGAATGCCGGTTGAGGGATGAAGCTTGAAATCGCTTGTAAGGCAGACAGCAACTAGAACCGCGAAGGAGGCATCTTGATTCATTGAGGAGCACTCACCATCACCACAAGCGTGTGATGCCGCTGGAGAGTGTGGGCACCGTCTCGGTTTTGACCAGCATGACGGCGGATGCTCGCTCTGGCACGAGGGTGGCCGCGTTTGTGCGCACCCCAACCACCGCTGGCGCAGAAGGCGAAGAAACGGCTGAGACATGAACATTGCAATTGGTGGAATTCGATGCCGCAGTCCAAAGCGTGGACTTTGACAGATCCGCTACGAACAAGTGCATTCTACCAACACACAGCACAGCATGGAGTGCCGCACGTTGGCTGCAATGCCTTCAACAGAGCAAGAGAGCAAAGGATCACCAAAACGGAGTCACCTTCTCATGCTACGTGACTCACTTGTGTGTGCGACGGACTGATATTCGAGGTGGCTCGGGCTTCAGTGCAAGCCGGCCAGCAGCTCTGGATGAGCATTGGCTCCAGCACTAGCCAGGAAAAGTGCGTCTTAGAGCCGCAAGGACATTTGTACTGCGACTACCTTGCTGCCAATCCAGAATATCGCAACAGTGCCAGGGACGGGCATGTTTGTGCCTCGCCGCTCGCCGCACGGAACACACCGACCGGCGCGGTCACTTCCGCCGGCAGCGACGGAATCGTCGGCACCGCCGAAGAGGTCCGCCGCCAACGCTACCGGCCCGCAGGGATCAAGCAGTGAAGTGTTCTTTTCCCAGCGTGCTTTTGCATGTTATGATTAGTA